CGAAGATCCGATATAACCCCAAACACCAAAAAAAAAAAAAAAAAAAAAAAAAAAAACTGTCACCACTGTAGAGAAGAAGAAATGTGTTGCAAACTCTTTATTTTCAATATCCTGCACTTTTGAGTTGTCAAATAATGTTCTTCATTATTGTAATGATGATGGCTCTACAACTGTCAACAAAGGGGATCCAGGAGTGGGATTCATAGGAGTGAGGTTCAGTTTGCAGTAAACCATCCCCACTCCTGGATTGTTCTCGATATAGCCTATCAAGGGTTAGGGATATGGTCGCAAAGCATAGAAGAGAGCAAAGTGAATGTAATGGGCTATGATTTTGGCTACCTGAGTACCACATTCTAATTAGTATCAAACTTATTTTATCACAGTAGTACAAAGGCACTTATTAAATCATTCTAAGCTTTTTTTCTTACAGCGCACAGAAGCTTGTAAATTATCTTTGCCCTCAGGGAGTTAACAATCCAGTTAAGATCAAGTTTGTTCCTATTCCTATCTCTGTAAAATATTAATGACAGGAGTTCAGAGATACCTCATGTTGCTTTTTATTTCACTAAATAGAAGACAGGTCAAGGAAATTTAAGTGAATTTTATAAGAACATTTTGTTTGTCAGGCAAACAAAAGCAAAGGGAGAAACATAATTCACATGACATTCACTGTGTGAGTTCTAAATTAAGTGGATCAGACTGCAAGTGCCCTGCAGTTTCAAAGGCAAGATGTGACTTTAAGAGACAAAGAAATTGTGGCATGGGAGTGGCTGAAAGTAAGAAGAACAATACTTAATGTTACATGTAGGAGGAAAGACTGGACCCTAACCTTAACCCTAACATTAACCCTAACCCTAATTTTAACCCAAACCCTAACCTTAACCTTAACCCAAACACTAACCCTCATCCTAACCTTAATCCAAACCATAATGCTATACCTAAACCTTATCTTTCTCTTTATGGAGGAAGATTTCTGCTCATCCTTCTAGGTCAAGTAGTGCCTTTCTGAACCATTCCTCAAAATGAATCACCCTCATCCCTATACTCCAATAGTCCTTAAGACACACTTATACTATGTGAATTGCAGCAAAAGTGCTGTTTCTGTACTGTTAAGCTTCATAATACCAGGGACTATACCTTTGAATCTTTGGCACAAATTAAGTAAATGATTGTACAGTAATCAGTATAAATAGAAGTGCAGATGTGAAAAAAATCATTTCAAATATGATGTGAATAGAACATGCATATTAAAGTTATTGAGAATGTAATTAAGTGAAGATTAGAATCACCCTATAGAAAGTGTTTTAAAAACTTGGCGGAGGATTCTGAAGTTATACAATGGAATTGAGGATTTTGCTACTTAAAATATTTTACATTTTAATTTTTTGTTTTTGAACAGAAAAGTAAAATGATTAAATTTAAAGTGAAAAAAATTGTTCTTATGGATTCCGTTCAATTGGAGATTCTGTCTCAGTAAGTCAAGATGACTTCAAGTCTCCTGGTTAGAATCTCACTGTCTCTCTCTCTTCTTCTTTTGCTGCCTTTCTCTTTTGTTCCTTTTTTTTGGTGGTATTAGGGATTGAACTCAAGGTCTTCTCACTGAGCTACATCTCCAGTCCACTTATTATTTTGGAGACAGGGTCTCCCTAAGTTCCTATGTTGCTTAGGTTGATATGTATCATTGTTACCCATGGAATGGATTCAGCAAGTGTAATGCAGACTCTTGTGTATGATCAGCGATGACCTTCAAGCACACTCCATGCCAAGTGGAAAGCAGCTACATTTATTGAAGATCACAGGAGGTTGTACTTACAGCAAGCCTGTGCTGGCAAAAACACAACACAAACAGAACAGTGGTGCCGGGGTGGCAGAAAGGCAAAAGCACTGCACACAGCAGTAGCTTTCAGATAATCAGGTTTTGGAATTTAAAGGACATGCACCTGAACATAGATGCCTCCCCTGATTCTTTAGGTGTGCTTGACAGGAATGACTGACGGGGTGCTGAGTCATCTCAGGGGCTCTCAACACATATGCCTGTCCTGCAATTCACTCTGACCTTAATTACATGCATGAGATGTAGTGCTCGTTCATGAACCCTTAATAACTTTGGAGTCGGGTACAGGTGACTGAAGATCAGGCCGGGAGATACAACTCTAGCCTAAGGAATCAGAGATTACCTGAGTTTTTGTGTGATTCTCTACCTCTCCTAGGACAATGGAATGAGGAGTGGTCTTAGGGTGCTGTTTAAACTTGGTGGTGGAAGGGAGTGACTTCCTAAGCTCCGTCATTTTAACTGTATTACCATCATGCTGGAATCTTGCATTTCTAAATGTTCCCAGGCAGTATTACTTCTTCAGAGGACAGACCATTCTTTGATTGGCAAGTGTAATAGTAGAGAATAGAGAAGAAAAAAATGTTTTGCTTAAACCCTGATTTTTTTTCTTTTAACGATTTACTTATTCTACTTACTTTCAGATATAAAGCACTTCCATTTAGTCCCATCTCTGAAATTTAGGCTTTGAACTTTTTTTTTTTCTTCTTCGAAATTTAAAGAACTTGTCTTTTAGACTTCTGCAAAGTAACTGGTAGACAATATTGCCATCTACTGGCAAGGAGAAAAACCTGTGGCTTTTCTCCTACTATACTATTTTAAGTGCATTAAGGAAAAATTTCAACTTTCCAAAGGAATATATTGGGCAAAACTACTATGTCCTCCTTTTAAAAATGTGTTCTTTCTAATCCTTTCTTTAAAGTTCCCAATAATTGCTTCTGCTTTTCCTGCACTGTCACAGTAGAGATGATGGAGGTTGAGCCACTGAGAGTGCTGCTGTTACTGTTGGGATCTGAATTATTTGAGGCAGTGAGCATAGGATGAGGGACTACAAGATTGTTCAGATAAAAACAGGCTTCTCAGGTTTAGAATAGGCTGAAAAAAAGGACAAAGGAGCAGTAATCAGATGAAGGCAAGTGTCAAAATCCAATCTCAAGACTCTGGTTAAATTAGATTGAACAGATGAGACTAAAACAACCAAATCATGAATTTGTGCTGTATGAAGTCCTTTTGTAAAAATAAATCATAATGTTAGTAGAAGCTTGGGGGCAGCTAAGACACAAACCAAACCTTCTATCTCCTTTTGTAGGTCTGGAACCCTCATATCTGTAGATGAGACAGTGGTACACAAAAAGTTCACCCTGAGCCAGGTGTAGCACTACGTGCCTGTAATGCCAGCTACTCAGGAGGCAGAGGCAGGAGGATTGGGAGTTTCAGCCCAGCCTGGGCAAGTTAGAGACCTGTTTCAAAATAAAAGAATAAAAAGGCAGGAGGATTACAAATTCTAGCCCAATGTGGAAAAATTATTGATTTAGCAAGATCCTGTCTTAAAATTAAAAAAAAAAAAATTAAAGTGCTGGCAATGTAGCTTAGCTGCAGAGACTCTGGGTTCAACACCTAGAACTGATGAATGAATGAATGAATGAATAAATAAATAATACAATGCAAGTTTTATTCCAAGGGTGCTTTCATCTCCTCTCCAAACTTATGCTTAGATAATGTGTCCTTGGGGCACACACGCCTCTTACTGGGCATCTCTGTCAGCATTTTCCATCTTCATTGAATTAGTTTGATTTGGTGTTGGTCTCATAGAAGTAGGTTCTGAGGCCCTGAGATTTGTGGACACAGCATTGGAACCTAATATGTCATTAATGAATAAATATGATGGGTTGTTTTGGTGTTGTGGTGTAGCCTTATAAAATAGTTACTTAAGCTTTTTTCCCACTAGTTTTTATTTTCCTCAAGCTTTCTTGTTGTCTGGGCAGCCCTTTTATGATCCAGGTACCACTTATGCATGAACCAAGACTTAGTGATACAGAAAAATGGTTCAGGAAGGCTTTCATAAAGATCAGTATATAGTTTGAGCTGACCTGCTTTTGTTCTCTTCTCCGTGATCCCAGTATTTATTCTCACATTTTCCTTTGTGAATCACTCATAGAACTTCCTTCTAAGAGGATAATGATAGGTGTCTCATTCATTTCTCCATTTGCCTCTCTTAAAACCATCAGGCATAGGAGAATGAATGGATCTTGTTAATTTCCCTGCATAACAATATACCTATTTGGGGGAATTGTATTTACCAGTAGCACCCATCTCCAATACCCAGAGCTGGAAAAAATATTTTTTTACTCTTTAGTAATACCCAATTGCATAATATTTTAAAAAGCTTCATGGGCAGTGAGGTATATATAGCTTGTGTTAAAACTCACATGTAGGCTGTTTTTCACTTTAGAGGCTATCAGACTCTGGTATCAAAGCTGTAGCTTTTGAACCAGGTGTGGTGGTGCATGCCTGTAATCCCAGCACTCAGGAGGCCGAGGCAGGAAGATTGCCATGAGTTTGAGGCCAGCCTGAGCTACCTAGCAAGAATTTATTTCAAAAATTAAAACAAGCACAAAAATTACAGCTTTGATGTTTGATACATAGTATATGACTTGGTAGTGAGTGACAATTGTGTAAATGAGTGGATGTGATCCTGCCATTGAGAAAGAAGCAAATTACTTTATTCTTTTCCCAGTGAATTAACACCTGTCAGACCATTCAGTTCTGTTTAATAAATCACCTCCATTAAAGCCATAAAATAGTTTATCCTCAAAGTCTCAGCAGAGTTAAGGGAGCTCACTTAAATGTTTGAGTTAGACATTTCTTTTCTCCACCTGGTAGGATTGATTTTTTTTTTTTAAAAAAATACTTTCATTCAACCGCTTATTTTTCCTAATGAATAACATTTCCGAAAGAAGATTACTTTTTTTTTTTTTTTTTTTTTTTTTTCTGGGGGTTT